TCAATCAGGACCAGGCAAAAAAGACCTTCGCAGATTTCGTGGATTCTCGACCACCCAGTTTTTTCTTTGATGGGATTTCTCGACTGCTGTCACATTGGCAAAAGTGTGCTGATTCGAATGGTGCTTATTTCGATTAAATCCGATGAGTGTTAAGAAAGTTATGATCGTTTAAAGTTAAACACCCAAAACGCTAAGAACTTTCCGGACAACCTAATACAATCGATAGTTGAGAAATACTGGCGAATACAGATGAGGCGGCTGTACTGGCAAGTGGTACGCTTATCGAACGCACGCTCAGGGAGTCATGAAAACCCACAGGCACCCTTGTAGGTCTGGAATCCGTACCTTGAAGACTGAGGGGTGCTATTAAGACGAATGGTTGTACAACGAATCAGTGTGCGTTATGGTAATCAGTTATACTAACTTTCTGTACCGTAACTGTGCTGATTACTTGATCTTCTATCTGTTCAAGGTCCAACGAAAACTTTAAAACTGTCGAAAATGTGATCTCAACGTTTTTTTTTTGCAAGTTCTCTTTGCGTTCGTTTAGGTAAACAAGTAGTTTAATCAAAATAACACTACTCCTGGCGAGTGAAAAGAAAAAAAGATAATGTATATCAGGACTCACTTATTCAAAAGTTGCCTTTCCATCAAGGGCTGATTGACTAACGCCCGGACAACGTCCACGTGTCCGAACTTTGCTGCAAGATGAAGCGGTGTTTCACAGTTTCCCTTCAAAACGATATAATAGCCACTGAGAACATTGCAGTACTCGGAAACAAAGGATTTCTTCTGAACTATAAGAAAAAGAAAACAAAAACCTTGTCAGGGGTATTCAGATAGGATGCCATGATGTTATCAGCACGAAACTGAGCGTCTTGTTTAGATGTACCATATAGATCGGCGAGGAAACCAATGTCGCTCACAAGTTCAAGGATCTTTTCCACCACATCGCACTTCCCATGACGAGCGGCGATATGTAGAGCGTTAAATCGAAACCCTTCCTGAAGAAAACAAACTTGATGGGTCGACTGATGCGGGTGAGGGCTTCTGGAACTCGGGAGTTCTACTGCCACCTCGAAAGATACTTGGCGCAGTTCGGCTTGGTGAGGGATCAATTGTACCACAATGCTTGTACAGGCCACCTTGTGAAGACCTGCAAATCCGCGTGAGCAAAGTGGCTCACTCGAACGGTTTCGCAGCTTCGCAACAAGGTGAGACCTGCCACTGGCGCTGTTTGTCGACGGGGGGGGGCATTTTGTACTACCATTGCTTCCCTAGTTCCGGTTTACAAATCTCACCCTGGTAAAACTTGTGAACCCTTGTGAAGCTGGTGCAAGATCGTCTAGCCACCATCCTAAAACGTGTCAACTCGAGAAAAGGCTACCTAGATGGGTCGGCACATCTATGGAAAGCAG